GGGGTTAGGTGGAGGGTCTTTTCAAATAAACTTGGGCTTCCTTGGGGGGGGTAGTCTAAATTTAGATGGTGGTGATGACTGTGTAATCCTGCGACTATTAACAACGAAGCTCAACATTATACCGAACACTCTAAGTGGTGAAGAGTATGCTGTGTGGGTTTCATCTCAGTAAAGCTGCTTCATACTTTATGTGACTTCTGTAAAGTAATTCCTCATAGTTCTAGCATGAAGCAGGGTTTGAGTATTCTCTTTTTAGATGAGAAATTTCAGGCCCAGGAAGGCTCCCTTCTCTACTCAAATGAATCTGTCACTTTTAGCACCACTGAGGTTGAGACTTGGGTTTTCTGGTTCTAAATTCTGGGCTCTTCTTGCTGCACTGGCTTCCTGTCCTTGGGAGGGTGAGCCAGGGGGATAGAGACTATAGAGCTGAGGGCTGAGGGCTCCCTCCCTTTTCTCAATCCCATCTCTTTGGTCCTTTGGGCAAGCCCATGGACACATCTGTGTGGGAGGGAGCACCTACTCTGTAGAGTATGTCTACCATCTTAGGAATCCCTTTCTCCCCCCTCAAGTCAAACTGCAGCCCTGATTTCTTGAATGGCGGATAATTCCACTGATTCCTGATATCCCTTCAGAGAGGAGTTGCAAGTTAAAGTAGACCGTGACACCCACCTTGCAGCAATTTTCTCTTATGCAACAGCCCCTTCATCTTGCCACAGGTCACAGGTAGTATTTGAGATTCATATTTGTGATTTCTTGATCCTGAAAGAGAGTTCCCTGTTCTGTCTCATTCTCCAGTTGCACACCTCCCCATGCCCCACCCCTGCCCACCTCAAGCTGGTTCCTAAAAAGACAAAGGGATACTTAGGAAAGCTAGAGTTACTTCTTTCCTCCATGTGTCATTTGTAATACAAAACTATTGAATGTCTGCCTAACCCTAATCCTATCATCTTTAAATCTCACACAAAAGAAAATGCTTTATCAGAGAAACCAGGATCAATAAAACTGTCTTATTTCCTAATCTAATCAGTCCGCCACCTGACACTGAAGTGTAGACTGTGGTCACAGCCTGGGGCGGAGTCCAGCTGTACCCAGGTCAATGAAGTTAGGTAGCTGGAGATAAATCAGACTGAACATGTCCCTCCTGACGTAACTGACAGGGAAGCTGAGAGAGGAACAGTTTCTGCCTTTCATTTGTGTTCTTTGCTTTACTTCATGTCATTTTCACACTAGTTTTCTCCAGAGATGAAAGAGCTTAGGAAGTTCTAGAACATTCTGTAAATGGGATGGGTACGTAGAAGGTGGCTGGAGACTTGGTTTCTACAGAAGGGCTTTGAACGAACAAGCCGCAGGAGGGTGTATCTTTCCAAATTAATAAAAATACCTTCATGCAGAGAAGAAGCCACATACTGAGGCTATAAACCTTGTAGCACTGACTATTAAATTTATGAGGATTAAACCAGTATTTTGAAGCCATGTATCCTGGAGCCTCTTTGTTAAGTGTCTCTATCTACACCCTAACTGACAGAGTAGCTCAGAAACTGTCGTGGTCCTGGCAGACTGTGCGGCAAGAAAACCAAAACCATGAGCAGTGTCTTAACACACGCACCACGCTTCTTGGTCTGCTTTGCAGTTTGTATACTTCTCCACACATTTCTCTTCATTCTTGTCAAGAAATGACATTTCCTTTTTCCTTGAGAGAGAGAGAGAGAGAAGTTAATCATTTGTAATTCCCAAAGCCCGTGGATAATAATTTTCAAGTTTTTTTTTTTTTTTTCCAGGCTTTGATCCACCAGAATGGGGCAAAATTCTTAACTACCAGTTAGCAATGTGAGCTTGATTCCATGTTACATTGTAGTCTTAGTGGACCTGAGAGATTCTAGAGGATGAATGTCCCTTGAAAATTAGAAAAAGCAACATTGGAAAATAGACTTTGCTAGTGCCTTAGGCTAAAAAGTAACAGTTGTGCTTCTATATGTGATAGATGGATGTCACAGTCTTGGAATGTTGTCTACGCCTAAGAATTTGTCTAGTTCTTTTAGCTTGTCCAATTTGTTTGCTATATAGTTATTCATCATACTCTGTGATTATCCTTTGTGTGTGTGTGTTTATTTTAAAGATTTATTTATTTATTTATGCATTCAGAACTAGGGAACAGGCCAGAGGTTCAGGGGCGGCGAGAGGATTCACCAGAGACAGTGGGGAGCAGAACAGGCAGATCAACTGAGTACACTGCTGAGGGGAGCAGTGGCGGGTCAGGAGAGGTCTGCCGCGCCATGTGGGTCATTTCCTGGCCAGGGATGGAACTCTCAGTGGCTAGCTTGCAATGCTACATCCTTACCCACTGAGCCACCAGGGAGGGCCCTATCCTTTGTATTTCTGTAGTATTTTGTAACTTCCCTTTTGGTTTTAAATTTTTGTGTTTGTTTTCTGTCTACTTAGTGAGTCTATAAACATTTGTCTATTTTGTTAGTCTTTCAAAAGATCCAGTTCTTGGTTTTTTTAAATTTCCATTTTGTTCATTTCTGTCCTGATTTTTATTATTTCTTTCATTCCAAGTTAATCTTTATCAGCTTACTTAGCAATCTCGTTAGCGATATACTCAGAAAGTCTTGCCTTCACACTTCTTCAAGACAGAATTTTGCTAAGCTTTCTGCTACTACACAATAAGGGACCCCTCTCCAGTAGTTTTCAAGATGTGCTGCTTTTTCCCTTCGGAGTTCTTGGCAGGAGAGCCTTTAATCTCCATATTTCTACTAACAGACTCTTCTTGATTCTCTGTATAGTCTCTAAGATATTGTAGGTTGCCCGTGTTCTTTGTTTCCCTTCCTCACTTGAAAACTCTTTGGCTTCCGTATTTCTGTTCCGTATGTCTAGACTATTCAAGGCAGTCTAGACATTTTCTATCCTTTTATTTAAAGTTCTTCCTTGACCCTCCCTGGTGGCACAGCAGGTTAAAGCACAGCACTGAGAAGCTAAAGCCACTTCAGCATGAGTTCAGTCCCTGCCAGGAGGATGACCACATGGCGCGGCAGACCTCTCCTGGCCCGCCTGCTGCTCCCCTCAGCAGTGGACTTCATCAGTCGGCCCGTTCTGCTCCCCCTCTATCTCTGGTGAATCCTCTCACCACCTCTGCACGTCTGGCCTGTACCCCAGTTCTGTATGCACAAATAAATAAATCTTTAAAGTTCTTCTCACTGGCACATTTTCCTCTGCTCACTGCCCAATTCTAAAACCACTTTCACATTTTCAGGAACATATGACTGCTGTACCCGCTTCCAATCAACATCATTTTCATTCTATTCCTTTTCTGCCATAACAAATGACCCACATTGAGTGGGTTTTCATCTCACAACTATGTTGGTTAGAAGTCTGACAAAGATTTTTTTTTTTGGCTCAAATCAAGATTTCAGTTGGACTTTGTTCCTAGAGGGGATGGAGGATTATCTATTTCCTTGAACTTTCTGGCTTCTAGTTATGACCTACAAACTTTGTTCTTTCCCTCCACTCAAAGTCAGCAATGTTGTATACCTCTGTGGCTACTTTCTTCTCTCCCCTGTCAGGAATGCTTGTCCACTTTTTTGAGGCCTCTATGATTAGACTGGGAGCACCCCGAAAATCCAGAGTAATCTCCCCTTTGAGGTACCGACTTGATTATATTGTAAAATATTTCTCGCCGTGTAAAAAAATAGATTGCAGGTTCTAGATATTAAAAGATGGATATCTATAATGAAAGTGATATTTAAAGACTTCTTTTAACCCCCAAAGCAAGAAAAATCTTAAGCATTCTTACTTTTCTTCTTCTGCAGCTTTCTCAAAATGGAGTTGGTTCCACGATCCACAACATCTAGAAAACAGCAAGTGAGAGTAAAGAAACTCACAGGGGCCTGTCACCTCACGGGTCTGTGGTCACTCCAAGTCACCCCCAAATCACAGTCTTTGGGCAGCCTTACCTATCACGTCACATGCTTGTCTACATGCAGTCTCTGTGTTCCAGCTAGCAGGCACATGCGTGGAATTGCACATTACACAGGGACACATCTCATTTTCAGGGGCTGGCGACTCTGCTTCTGTGTTAAAATCAGGATTTATGAGGACTTTTATTTTTCCCTGTGATCCTCTCCTCTGTACCCCATTTTTTTAATTCTCCCTCTGAAGTCTTTCATTGATTTCCCCAATAGCTGACTCATAAGTCTCCCTCATGTTCTTGTTTGTCTTTATCAGAATTCTGTTTTTTAAACTATTTTTAAGTCATTATTACCTTGTCCAGCATAGGAAAGTTGGCTAGCATCTGAAGTTCCTTTATTTGTTTTAGAGATTCTAGTTCGCTAGATGCTAAAGAGAAACAAAAAGCCACTGTCCAGACGTCCTGAAAGGAAGCGCCCCCTCAAGCTCTCAGGCTTCCCCCTGAGCTTCCCAGCTAAGACAAGCTGCCTTCTGGAGAAAAAGTATCTCTGCTCCAATAATCAGGTCTGGCTCCAACAGAACCATGCTTTTTTATCTTTTGCACTGCATTCTCCTTTCTCCACTTGCAACCCGAAGAATAAAAAAGATCTTGTCCTTCCAGGGGAAATAAAACCCTGCTATTTTGAAAATTTTAAGGAGTCATTACCAAAACCAGTTTGCTCAACCCCACTGGCCAATGACCTCTTCCACCACTAACAGAGCTGGCCAGTCAAAGGCAGCCTTAGATTTTGGGAAATCAGTCAACCAGCCAGAGTCACGCCAGAAATCCGTGTCTGGGTCCACGTGCTCCTAACTACCCTGTGCTTCTTGAATGCCAGGCTAGAGTGACCAAAGCACAGGGATGGACACATGGCCTCGATGAATCCTCAGGCAAGCCAGCTCCAACGACAATGTAGTGGACATGGGTCTGTCAGTAGCCCACTTGCACCAAGACATGTGGTCACACTTTAGCTTCCTGAAGATACTCGCCACCTTATCGATTTGTGAAAGAAAATGATGCTATTGAGAACATAATCTGATGTCAACAATGAGGTGTCTGCGCGTGTCCCTTTGCAGTGTCTTCCCTGGTTGGTGAACCCAAGACCCTGTCATGTGCAGGACACCTCCTGCCTGTGTTGTTCACCGTGAACTGTCTTTGCCAAAGTCACCATTTCCCACCAGCACCCTACTGAGTGTACAGAACGGAGAGGGAGTTGGCACACATGGTGAGATTTAAACTTATGCATGTATCTTAATAAACAGCAACATTTCACAGAAGCTCACTTGGATTTCCATGGGGAAATTTTGACACTTCAAAACTGAAAAATACATGTGATGGCAGTCTATGAAAGGAGAGAGAAAAATGACCCGAAGGTCCATGTTGAACCCATAGCTGTTACTTTCAGACCATTTTCTAAAGAATACTTTTTTCTTTTCTTAAAAAAAAAGTATACGGGCGCTCCCTGGTGGCGCAGCGGGTTAAAGCACTGCACTGAGAATCTGAAGCTACTTCCGCATGAGTTCGATTCCCGCCTGCCGCCTGCCCTGGAGGTGACCACATGGCGAGCGAGACCTCTCCTGGCCCGCCCGCTGCTCCCCTCAGCAGTGTACTTGGTCGATCTGCCTGTTCTGCTCCCCACTCTGTCTCTGGTGAAGCCTCTCACCGCCCCTGAGCCTCTGGCCTGTACCCCAGTTCTGTATGAATAAATAAATAAATCTTTTTAAAAAAAAAAAGTATACATTTGATAGGTATGGATCTACTCTACAAATAAAACCACCAGACTAAGACTACTAAAGAAAGACTAATTTGAGAACACCTGGAAAATTCTCCTGCACATGATCTATTTATAGTTAACCTGAGCATCAGTTTACTGTCCATGCCTGTGCCTGAGTGAGATCCCAGCAGGAAGCTAAGTAGGTCCCCTAAGGGCTGTGGTGCCTAACTCAGTGGCAGTAATCTCTTCCAGGTGGTAAGAATAGTCTATACTATTTGCTTGGGGAAATCAATGGTTTATGTGGATCATTATTTTCTAGGCACCAACATAAGCGCCCTATAGGCAGAATCCAGAAGGAAACCCAGGAAACACCATCCTCCCGACACCTGCAGTCCCCTCCTCCCTTACCTGGCTCACTTGTGGCTGCGTTGCTCAATGCTAGCTGGGGCTGGTCATCATCATACATTTCCAACCAGGTGTCATCAGCTTCTGCGGAATAGAGTTAAACCTCTTAGAGAGCCCAGCATGTAGCCAAAGGGACCCACGGCTGTAACCCAGCCTGGGAGACCAGGGGCTCACAGATCTCACTGGTGACGCTGCCGGTGGCCTCAGGCTCTCCTGGACCTACAGGTCACATGGCTCTGCACAACCATGGAGACTGAGGCCAGCACCCATCCGCCCCCCACCCACTACCACCACCTCCCCGTCCCAATAACCCCCACCCCCGGTCTCTCTCCTTTCCTGTACACTTAATTCTCTCTCCTGATCCTGTACACACTTCTTC